AGATAGATAGATAGATAGATAGATAGATAGATAGATAGATAGATAGATAGATAGATAGATAGATAGATAGATAGATAGAATTTTAATTCAAACATGAAGATATAACTTAAATAACAAGAGAAAAAAGAAAAACAAAACTTAAAAACCATCACGTTTCATGTATATATCTATGTCTACTGAATGAGCATGCTCAGAGTAGGATGAAGTCTACACTTTTCCTGTTCCTACCCCGTATTTCAACTTTTATTACTTACAAATCCATATTCAGAATTCAACATTATATGATCCATACATGTTTAACTATATACAAGTCTGCACTCATATACAACACATAAACACACACACATAAAACAATTTTAGCACTTAAACCAAAACAATAACAAACTACATTTTTACATAAACTAAGCACGCTGTGGTTAACACCTGCTTAATCTCTGAGCTTATTTTATATCTGTTACAAACCTTAATGAGCGCTTTAAGCTTGGGTTACTCTGGCTTTGATCTATAAAAAGGAGGACAAGGCTTCAATAGAGCACAGTGAGACAACTCAGTCACTGAGAGGAATATTTCCTATATTCATGCAATTTATTATTTTTAAACAATCGTGTGAATTTGTGTATTGATGTACTTTTCTTGATTTCATCTGTACAGGTGTTCTACACACTAACTCATGTGACTGTAATGCTGTGATGTTTTACATTTGTCCCTACTATTGGCTTGCTGAACATAAGGATTCCTCTCAGGTCATGAGTATTTTGTCTTATTTGTAACAAGTTCTGGATGTTGTGGGGCAAAGATTTATTTGCTGCTTTGTACATTGTTTGCACAGTTCTTAAACATTAAAGTTCATTACATTAAAATTAGAAAAAGACCAAATAATATTTGAAAGGGTTACGAGGAGAAAGCCTCACCTTTCAGTTGCTTCTGAACAAACCCAAACTTCTGGAAGAATTTGCTTTAGACAGATGAGACCAAAATGGAGATGTTTGCCTATAAAATAGCACCACATGTGGAAAAACAAACACAACTCATCAGCACAAACACCTCATACCAAGTGTCAAGCCCAGTGCTGTGAGCGTGATGATTTGGGCTTGCTTTGCAGGGACAGTCCCTGGGCACCTTGCAGCAACTGATTCGACCACGAACTCCTCCGTATGCTAAAGTATTCTAGAGTGAAAAGCGAGTCATCCAGTGCTGCAAAGTCCAGACTTCAACCAGATTAATACTGCAGAAGGACCTGTAGGTGTATTTAATTATCCACATAGCCCGACTGTAAGTGATTCCAGCCTCCTCATAAAAAGACTGCAGCTGTTTGTATCAACAAACACATATTGAAACTATTCACTTGCACTCGTGTGTTTCTCCACTTTTGTTCAGTGTTTTCTTTTACTTACTGATATCTTACATATGTTAATCAAAGATGCTCCACTGTTTCACTCAATCCACAGAACTGCACCGTGTCCTAGTTTCCCATTGGTCACATGACTGCATTTACTCCTCTTTGTCTATACAACATTTCTCCTTTTCTTTCTTCTCTTGAATTTACATTTTTCAAACCCTTTAAAATGTATCTTGTACATGCATTATGGATCACACAACTTGGTTCCTTAGAAACACTCTTGTTTTAGAGTGTTGATGAAGTATAATGGTAAAAAAAAAAAAATTGAGTTATTGATTAATTTTGAAAACAGGTGATGCTTTGCCAGAATAAGATGGCTGATATGCTTTATTTAAAATGTAGTTTCAAATGTTCATGGTTGACATGCTAATATTCACTGCTTATTACAAAGATGTTATTAGCACAAGTATATAAGTACATTATAGCTATATTAAAACATGTATACTGTCAGGGTGGCAAAGTTATCTTTTTTCATGTCAAAAGAAAGGTGAGTGCAGGACTCAGGCTGATTGAGATTTTTCCCCGAAAGCCCTTCAGACTCAGTCTCCAGTTACAATGAAGTCATTTCAAGGCAGTGAGTAAGGATTGTGCTACTGAGGAACAGGGGGAGGAGGAAGAAGAAGGTCAAATATATACCTTAAATCTGAAAAAAATGCAGAGGAATTAAGCTGTGGCAGGTCTGTACTTTGATAAAGAATCACTGAATTTATGCAACAAGTAGCAATTATAGTGTGCGTACAGAACAAAAATGTATCCCTGCTTTTCATCAAATAAAAACCATTAAATTTTTCCCATTTTGGACTCCATTGAAAACAATATATCTGGTTACACGCAGCTCATAATTATATATAAACACATTATTTGTGTGTTTATATATAAGTGGAAATATTTTACTCATGTCCAAGTCCTTTTAGAGAAACAGTATCAAACTCAAACTACAGCCCACTCGGATCTTTAGTGTAACTGCACAATGAATCCCTGGAAGATCTCAATATAAGAAAAAAGACATACACTTTTAAAATGTACGTCTCAGTTTTTCAACATGACAAAGAAATGCTGCTGTAGTTAATGACATAAATGAAATGCACGTACAAATGTACAAATAATATACCAATGTAATGTTAAATTATTTCTGTAATTAATTTTTTAAATAATCATATCATCTACTACCCATTTTAAACTAGAACTTACTAGAATGGACGAGAAGACGGCTGCCGCCCTGCGGAACAATTTATCAGCTGCAGTGTCTACACGGACAACAATAAGGTAAACTACTCACTGCACTTCCGTTGCCCATGACACCGGAGCGAAGTTCTGACAGCTGATTCCTAAATCAGTTCATATCCATTTCGTGCCTCCAGGGCGTCATTTTTGAGGTTATTTACAGGCGCACGGAGCTGCTACGACCCTCGGCTGGAGTTGCAGACTGCGGCCCGAGCAGAGGAGGGGCGGCTGATTATGGTGTAGCGCGGAGCGCTAGCTCTGAGACAGCAGGTAACACAGTTCACACACAGGCTAACAGCAGTTAGCACACAGACTTTGCGGGCAACTTTCAGCTGTACAGCTGCTCCCATCTGCGTTTAGAGAGGAATAACCCCTAGCCGAGGCTGCGTATGAGCTTGGACATAGTGTCCAGCTAGCCGTGCTGAGCAGTGTGAGCCGTTTGTAGTTGTTATTTTACGGTAACACAGCAGCCCACAGCTCGGAGACGAGGCAGTGACTTCACTCTGAAAAGTTTTAGTACGAGTCCTGAATGTGTTTGAAGCACTTTCAGCCCTGCACAAAGGTTTAACTCGTGTACTACACCCCTGTTTGGTTTGGGTGTTATAAGAAGGGAGCCGACACCTTCTAGTTTGGGTCACGTTGGGTTTGGGTTTTGGGGAAGTTTGGGATTTAGGGAACATTTTCAATTGCGCTGATCGCTGGAACTGCGGTAGGACTGACAGATATGTCATATGTTGCCTGCTAACTGTTTGACCGGCATCCAGGTACTTTGTGTCAAGGAGGTGCAGCAGTGAGTGACAGCTGAGGCAGGTGGGCCTTGACTCAGGCGCAGTGACACACATTTCACGGTCCGCTGATAGTTGATACCTTTACTCTCTGCTTCCCACATCGCTCAGACTGGATTCACACTGACCGAGAGCTGCAGCCTGCGCTGTCTGTGAAGCAGTATCACAGTAAGAGCGCCGTGGCACATGATGTTTTCAAAAGACCAAAAAGATTGAGTCTGATGTCAGATGAGAGCGAAGAACAAATATTGCACGTGCAATGTCTCATGATGTTCCAGATAAAAAATGTAACCTGTCAGGAAAAAGGTAAGATAGACCAACTGACAGCAAGCCAGTGCTGTCCTCTGTATGCCCCACTGATGATTTAGCCTTAACAGTCAGGGTTACATTCTGCCTCAGACACTGTTTGTTTACAGTATATCTGTGTTCCTGGATTCAAGGTCCATCTGTTTTCTCGTCATGAAAACTTCCAGCCCATGACTGACTGTGGACTGTACTGTACGAGTAGTGACACTGCTAGAAATATAACACTCCGTGATGTCTTGACTCAGCAACCTGCTTATCACACAGAAGGAATGTGTGCAGTGAGATTTCCTTCTGTTGATGGAAATGTTGTGTTGCGGTGCTCAATACTAGATCCTGTTTTTGAGTTACATTTGAATCCCCCCCCACTAAACTCACACTAAATTCACATCTTCTCTGCAACCAGATGATAGCTACGAGATCAAAAGCATGATTGTGCAGGAAATAATACTTAACATATCTATAATTCAAAACTTTTTCAGCACGTCTCTGCACATCATTCGGAATTGCAGATGAGTTGCTTATGCATTGCAATTAAGATGGATTAAATATGAACGAGTTTAAAATCATTTTTTTCACAGTAGTAGTAATGTATGTGATATGTAGTAGTACAAATTTTCTGTGAAAAAATAGAGAAGACTTCTTACTGTTTGCCTTTGATGCAATTTACCTTGAAAGAGCTGTGGTCTGTGTGTTTGCTCCTCTCTATTCTCTGTGTTACCTGTATGTGCATAATTGTAACAGCATTATGTTTTAAACCACAGTTACAGGAGAAGTTTTGAATTTTTGTCCTCAATTTTAGATCGTGGGAGGAACCCAGTGTGAATGTTTGAATAACTGCAATTAACAAGTGACGTTACTACAGATGTGATGCTTGTTTTGAGAGTGTTGATGGGGAAGTATAGATGAGGTCAGAAGGAGCTTCACTAAGTCTTTAATGTTCTAGGGGAACCATATGATAGGGTGTCCAGAGAGGAACTGTGGTGCTGCATGAGGAAGTGAGGATTGGCAAAGAAGGATATAAGGGTGGTGCAGGACCTGTATGAGGTCAACGAGATGGTGGTGAGGTGTGCAGTAGGAGTGACAGATGGGTTCAAGGTCGGGTGAGTTTACTTCAGGGATCTTCTTGTTTGCAGTGGTGATGGACAGGCTGACCCTCCACTGATGGACTGTGATGATTGCAGATGACTGTGGTCTGTAGTGAGAGTAGGGATCAAGTGGAAGAGAGCCTGGAGAGGTGAAGCTATGGTCTCAAGAGGAGGAATGAAAGTCAGTAGAAGCAAGACAGAATACATGTGAATGAGAGGGAGATGGGTGTAAGGGTGAAGGAGCAGAGGTGATGAAGGTAGATGAGTTTAAACGGGGGGTCAGCCATTCAGTACAAGAGAGATGAAGAAGTGAGTGCAGGTTGAGTGGAGTGGGTGGAGATGGATGTCAGGGGTAATTTGTGACAGGAGAGCTACAGGAATAAAAGGGAAGTTTTACAAGATGGTAGTGAGACCTGCTATGATGTGTAGCTTGACATGGTGGCACTGACAATTAGACAGAAGGCCGGCCTGGAGGTGGCAAATTTTTATTGCAGGTGACCAAAATGGACAAGATTAGGAATGAGTTCATGAGAGGCACACATCAGGTTGGAGTCAAAGTTGATGAGCTATTTGGACATGTACAGAGGAGGGGCAATGGGTATATTGTCCAATGGATGTTAAATATGGAGCTGTGAGGTGGTTTATGGATGTATTGAAGGAAGACATGCAGAGGGTGAGAATGAGAACAGTTAAAGGAAGTGGTAGAAATACAGTGGGGCAAAAAAGTATTTAGTCAGCCACCGATTGTGCAAGTTCCCCCACTTAAAATGATGACAGAGGTCAGTAATTTGCACCA